ACATTTTTCTATCTTGTCAAGTAGTAGGTTGGTGATCTACTTTATCAAATGCCTTACTGAAGTCCAAGTAAATTATGTCCACAGCATTCCTCTGATCCACTAATTTTGTCACTTGGTCAAAGAATGCAATAAGATTTGTCTGGCATGATCTATTTTTGACAAACCCATGTTGGCTTTTAGTAATGACTTTGTTTGCCTCTAGGTGGTCGTTGATTCGTTGTTTGATTATCTTTTCCAGGATCTTCCCAGGTATTGAGGTCAGGCTGATAGGTCTGTAATTTCCTGGATCCATTTTTTTTCCTTTTTTGAGGATGGGAACTACATCAGCTCTTTTCCAGTCCTCTGGTAGTTCCCCTGTGTTCCAGGATCTTTGAAAAATATAGTTCAGTGGATCCGATATCACATCTGCCAGTTCCTTGAGAACTCTGGGGTGTAATCCATCTGGTCCTGGCGATTTGAACTCATCTAGGCTGGACAGGTGCTCTCTAACCATTTTCTTGCCTATCTTAACTTGTGTTTCTGTTTTGTTTTTTATGGCACTATTTTTGATAGGTTGGTCTGTTTTTTCCCTTTGTGTAAAGACAGATGCAAAAATGAGTTAAATAGTTCTGCTTTCTCCCTGTTGCTTGTCACCTTCTTGCCACTTCCACCCACTAATGGACCAATCATTTCCTTCACTTTTTTCTTGTTTTTTACATGTTGAAAGAAGCTTTTTTTGTTATTTTTGACTTTGGTCGCAAGCCTTAGTTCATTTTGAGCCTTGGCTTTCTTCACTTGATCTTTGCAGGCTCGGGCTATTTGCTGATATTCTGACTTAGTTATGTTCCCCTCTTTCCACTTTCTGTACTTGTCCTTTTTATCTTTCAATTTGTCAGAGAGTTCTTTATGCAGCCATGCTGGGTTTTTTTGAGAGCTGTTGTTTTTCCTCTTTGTTGCTATTGTGCTAGACTGTGCTTTTATTATCTCATTTTTCAAAATTTCCCAAGCTTCTTGAGTTGTTTTCCCCTTGAGGATTCTCATCCATGGAATCCTTCCCAAGCCCTCTCTAAGTTTATCGAAATTAGCTCTCTTGAAGTCCAAGACTCTAGTTTGACTGTGTTCTATTGGTTGTGCTTCTATAATGTTGACTTCTAATATTGCATGATCACTTCCTCCCAGGGTTCCTATGGCTTCAACACCGTCTATCATTTCATCTCTGTTAGTGAGAATTAGATCCAAAATGGCTAATCCCCGAGTTCCCTTCTCTACTTTTTGGGAGACAAAGTTGTCTGCTAGGTTTGCCAGGAACCTGTTTGATCTTCCACTTGGTGCGGAGTTTGTCTCCCAGGTGATGTCAGGGTAGTTAAAGTCCCCCATTACTATTGTGGTGTGCTTCCTACATACCTTAGTTAGCTGACTAGCAAAAAGTTCATCTATTTCCTCTGTTTGGTTGGGTGGTCTGTAGTATACACCTATGGCAATGTCATTCCCCCCCCTTTTTATATTGACCCAAATGCATTCAAGAGAGTTTTTATCATTGTTGTACTCTATTTCTGTGGAGATGTAGTTATTTCTTATATAGAGAGCAACTCCACCTCCTCTTTTATTTGGTCTGTTTCTTTTAAATAATTTAAATCCCTCTAGCTGTGTGTTCCATGTGTGAGTTTCATCCCACCATGTTTCCGTAAGGGCAACAATATCGTATCTGCCCTCGTTAACCTGAATTTCTAGTTCACCCTGTTTGCTGTTCATACTCTGTGCATTGGTGTATAAACATTTGAGTCCTTTGTGGGTGGCCCTGTGTTTCCTTTCTACATAACCTGTGTGGTGCCTGAGTTCCCCTATTGTCTTACCACCTATTTGGTTAGTGCACTTTATGTGGCACTCGCTATTAGAGGCTTCATTTTGATTGGTAGCAAGGTTGGTATTCTTGTCCACACACACATCTATGCTACATGCACTGATAGCCCTATAGTTTTTAAATTGCCGGGGACAGGGTTGTTCCGTATCAATTAACTCCCTGTCCCCGCTGTTTAGTTTAAATTTCCCTCCAGAAAATCTGTGAATTTAATTATCTAAGCTGCTCTTCTTTGCACTTTTTCCAACGTCTCAACATCTTTTTTGTAACGTGCTGATCAAAACTGGATGCAGTATTCCAGGTGGTATATTGGTACATCCCCTGTCATCTGTCAGCTTGTCAAGGGAGAGCTTTGTGGGGCATTTTAGAGGGGTACACTATACATATCACATACTTTCGTTGCTTGGTAGAAAAGTGGTATGTTTCCCTGAACCACTCCATGACAGCTCCTGGATTTTGTCCATCATTACAATGATTTTTTAAAAAGTTTCTGGCTTGCTGTTGTTATTTTGTTCCTCTTTCTAAAATACAATTTCCCCCTCTTCATTAGAAACATGGCCTCTCTTGGGTATATTTTCCTGTCTGAAATTGTATACAAATCTTGCATTATTCTTTCTAATCTAATCAGAGAATTGGAATCAAAATATTTTCTGTCAAAAAATGATAAAATCAGTCCAAATTGCCACCGACATACTTGCAAGCAGAAACAAATTGTAATCTGAGATTTGATAGCTACTTTGATTGATTTTGGCATACAGTACAGATTTTGACATGTGCAAAAGTTCTTGTTGCTTCAGCTGGAACAACGGTCAGATTCACAGAATAACTTCAAACTTCAAAGGCAAACATAGTTTATGAACATTTGAATGTGTTTTGGTAGCAATGTGAATGTTTGTGTCAACTGAGAACATTCATATCTTCAGGATAGAATCCCTGGTGTCTAGAAATGATATTTTGCATTTAATGGAAACACCTACACATTTGTGGTAAGCAACATGAAATGTAGGCTCATTAGAACTATAAGGGCCACAAAAACTGTAGTGGCAGATAATACAAATAAAAAGAAATAGTTTCAAAACAGAAGATCAACTAAGGAGAATAACATCTTTGTACATCTCCAATGTGGGAACTCACAATGTCTGATAATTCTGGGATTTTATCTAATATGCATGGAAGACACCAAGTGAGGAAAGCTGATATACGTGTCTTAGTAGTCAAGCAGTTATTCACATTTTGTCTGAAAAGATGACATTGGGCAACTATAGCTACTTTATTCATCAGAAGTTTTTTTAAAAGTAATTTTGAAAAAGGAGAAAGTTGCAGAAACCAGATGTCTCTGACGTGCTAAAAACTTTTAGATCACGGGTGTCAAACTCGCCACATCACGTGATGTGTCGCAATGTATCGCGACTCTTTTTGCATTTCTGGCAATGGTGTGGGCGTGGCTTCAGTAAGATGAAACCGGACCGCAGGCCGGCAGTTTGACACCCCTGTATAGATCATCTTAAAAACAAGGTGATGGCTGTTCCCATCTTCTTGAATAGTCTTTGTAATACTAAATGGATGTGACAGAAGCTGCAGTTTAGCTGAGCATTTAATTCAATAATGGGCAACCATGTTAACATGGGGTTTCACTTCTTCCTTTGACCCTACAAGATTGCCTAAGACGACAGAACTGGTATTGTTATTAAGTCAACAAAGCTGATATTTCTCAATTTTTCCTACCTGCATTTTCAGTCTTAAATATGACAATTTGGAACCTTTTAAGAACAGTCAGTTCTTTGGAGAGATAGCAAAATTTCAGTGATCAGCCAAAAGCATCAAAACAGGGGATACCTCTGTGTAATCACTGGCAAAAGTGAAGGGGGAAAAAACTATTAACAATCAAAAAGGTAAATCAAGTAGAGACCAAAGTACCTTCTGGTAGAAAAGAAGGATGCCATTATCCTAAATAAATAACCAAATAAATGGAATGTCTTTTTCCCCTTAGATTGTTCTTCAGCAGTAAGAAGTATTTGACCTCAAACTACTGAATTCACAGTATAGCTTTATTCTAAAACATTACTTCAACTGCACTAGAATATTGCTTTATGATTTCAGTGCATTAAAGGAGAGACAGCTATTGTTAAAAGCTTGATTTCCCCTTTTTTTTCTTGCTTTATTGCAAAAGCTCTGCTATAGGTTGATATTTACAAAAGACTCTTGTTGCTGAGTAGCACAAAACAAAACACTGTTTCTGCCAATGCACTTAGCAAGAATTAGAGACAGTTCAACGGGAAGAAAGGAAAATGGAATAAAATCTAAACAGTATTTTTGCTTTTGAAAAAAAAAAACAAATAATACATTGTCACTGCTTAAGTTGTATAACCAAATGGAAACATGTTCTGCATTTATTTAACTGCAGAAAGTGGAAAAAAAGGCTGTGATGTGTTAGCAGATTTGCTGCCTTTAAATTGTATCCCAAATTTGGTTCAAAGTTTGCATGATCTTAATATTGTGTCAAGCTAATAGGTCAAAAACATTGCTTACTCTACTTTCCTAAGCATTCTCCTTCTTCGGTAGAAGTAATCTTAGAAGGATACAGCTTGGAAAATAGTCCCAGTTTAAAGAAAAGTGGGAAGCATTTTGTAAACTCTTAGGTTCAACAATTGTAGGAGCAACAGAGACGACCTTTCAAACTGCTAGTAGCACCGTGAAGACACTATTGCATTGCTGATTGCAACATCTTGATAGTACAATGCCAGATGGATGTCTGTATAATAAGGTAATGTTGACAGACACTTCTTCATTTATTTTATTCAAAGCAATAGGCATGTATTTCTCAATCTCTCGTGGGCTCTTCCTTGGAACCTCTGGACTTCCTCAAATTTTTTCAGGACTATCAATGTTTTGGCAATTCTTTGTTCAAACTAGGAGAAAAACCATAAATCCAACCTTCCCCAATCTATCTTCTCTCACTTTTTACTAATCTCTTCCCAATTCTCTTTAACTGGACTTGATCAACATTTTAGACAGACTTTTTGCAGCTAGATGTTTTTCCCACCGTGAAGAAATGTGCTATAACTACAGAAAGATAACTTTACCCAGCTCTCTTCTCCTTTTTTCCTCTATTTTCATAACTGAAATCTTTCAGGAGAACCGCTGAAAGTTTGAAGCTTTTTACCTTACAGGTAGTTCTTGGTTAAAGATAGTAATTGGGACCAGGAACTCCATTGCTAATTAGGTGTATCTCATACAGCTGTGAGATGCAACTTCATGTGGTTGCAATTTACAACCTCCATCTGGTTTCCCCATTGGCTTTGCTTGTCAGAAGTCAGTAGTGAAGGTCGCAAATTGTCTTCATGTGACCATCGGATGTTGAGACCATTGTAATTGCAAGCCAGTTGCCAAGTGCAAAGATCATGTTCTCTTGACCACATGGACTCTTTGACAGCTTTGAAGATCATCCATAAATTTTCTCCTTCAGCAGCATTGTACCTTCAAGTAATCGCTGAATAAATGACTTCCTGTATTTATTTCACTTTGCCTATCCCAAAGAGAAACCTCTTGAGTCATTTAAAACCAGACTCACCTCACAGACTGCAATCATCATATGAGTAAGAGGCGTCACCATGTGAGTAAGAGGTCCTCCACAATGTTGCGGTTAAGCCCCATGGAAGTTGCTAGATTTCAGAGGAGCTGAACCAAACTTCTCTAATTCATTGCCTTCTCAGATTTTGGAAGCAAAGCCATCCTTGAACATTGTAGCAGCCTGATTCAGTTATATTTCATACTGGAAGTGCCAGCCAGGTTCACATGATCAATTGATCCAAAATCAGACACAGGAGCAGTATTCAAAGATCCACCTTTCAAGCCTCTGAGTATCATGGCTCTAGGAGAATTATGGCTTTAAGAAACTAAGAAGCATGCTGAACTTTCCTAGCCAAACAGTACTAGCAAAGCAGTTATGGATATGAGTTCATCTTGGGTCCCCTCCAAATATTGGAGAATCGATCAACACTAATTTTCAAAGACCAGAAATCTACACAGAGGCTGCAAAAGTAATATACTCTTCCACCTGTTCTTAATCCAGAAATGCTGTCTATATTTCTTTATCTGCCCAAATGAAGTTATCCCTGTGCAAAATTTGATAATTTTTTTTTTTACCAACATGGACATGAATGCTATATATTGTAATTTTTCCCACTTTTGCTATATCAGGAAGCCTCTAAAAAACCTATCCTTCTGTATAGTAGCATGAGTCTCTGGTTTCCTTTATTGGCTTCTTCTTCTATAGCTTAAGGTGAATTCCTTCTTCAAATCTCCTCTTTTCCAACTGCCACTTTTTGAACTTCTGCTTCAACTTTCTCCCATTGAATCGAATGTGCTCCTCCGGGTATCCCTGGCCTTTCTTTCATTGAACAGAATGTGCCAAATTCTCAAGTTATTATTGCCTCTTATTTGGCTATTTTGCTTAGTAGCTTCATTTTTTCTTGGTATAAAGTCCTTCCTCAGGCCTTAGATCCTAACCTTAAGCCATTCCAAATCTCCAAGTGATTTTAAACTCTCCAGGATCTGCCAGTAGTCGTTTCACTGTTTGTTTTTATAACATGTGATTTATTTCAGTAAGTATTTGGCAGGTAAGAGGAAAAGTGAGGAAGCCTGAACTTCCCTTCAACAGCTTTAGAGAATTTCTGTATCTATTGTGAAAATTGGTCCCGCTCACACTTTTTTCCCCCTTTCTCAAATAATGCTGTAGACTAGAGCAATCAACTTCAAAGAAGCTCACTTTTGTGCATTCACTTTTGTTGATAGGTGCAGCTAGGCAACATGTTAGAGACAAAGAAAGGGATGTCCATTGCCGTAGCAACATCAGATGCTAACATACTAAATAAGTAAGAAAAGGCCTATTAAGACCTAGTGCTTTGCTTCTGTTAATTCTTCAGCGTCCTCAGAGGAATCATTAAGTAGAAGTTTAAAGACTCAGAGATTTCGAGGTAAGCCCAAGCAACAGCAAACATGGAGTGGAGAAATGCAAATGTTAGTAGAAGGTGAGTTCAGCTACTGAATTCCTATTTTTTATAAGACTGAACTGTTCAAATTACTATTAGTTATTAAACAAAAACATTTGTATGAAGTATAAAAATAATACAGATATATAGTTAGCTGTCATGTTATGTTGATTTAATGCCAGATTTCAGGGTCATGAAATTCAGGTTCCTGCTTATTTTTTGGTATTTTAATTTCATTTATATATATTCAAATTGGAATATATTAAATATAATTCTATTTGGTTAAGCTGTTGCAAATTACAGGACATATTTTTGAAAAATCACAAGCTGTCAAAAACACAGATGCTTTGCTAATTAACAGGAAAATTATCATAAATGTGTCTAATTTTATGAATGTATAAATTTAGAAACAGATACTTTCTTATGCTCCCAGTATTCCTAATTGGCTAAAAGTTTGGTATAACACCTCTCAGAGAATGAACTGCAATGACTCTGGCTCCTGATAGTAACTATGAATGCTAATTAGCTTATATAAAAGCTGTTTTGCTGTACTGATTCTTGGTTTTTATACATAATCATATTGGATGGAATGGTTCTTATTACTGCTCTATTTATTTGACCCTTAAAACTTTAGCAAAGGCTAGTATAAAACTCAAGGAACAGAAATTTCATAGTTACAAAAATGAAGATTAAGAAATAGCATGATGAAGGCACCATTCTATGAAATCATCACTGCTCAGTCAGGGCAAATATAAGCATGATTCAGTAGCTATGTTCTCTGGCACAATCCTCTGCTGTCATATAAGAATTAAAGAATAAGAACCTTTATATTCTATCATTCTATCAAAACAGGCAAACAAATGTTTAAAGCCGGGGATCTTAACGATTTGATATAAATTGTTAAAGGGCAGATGGGAAAATATGGAATTGCTCCAACTACATATACTTTGTCAGAAAAGCCTTGTGGTGCAGCTTTTAAAATAGTAATGGGGATGGTTGGCCTCAGGGGATTCTGAAGGCAAATGTTATGACTATCAAAATAAATGGCTGGAAGTATTTAGAGGGAGCAGAAGACAGGAGATAGCTGATAATGAGGGATCTGAATAAGTGAAAACTGCTGGAATGAACATTAAGACATAAATGAATGGACATATATGTCATCCTAATGCTGAATCTTTCAAGGAATAGTGGAGCTATAATTTGGCTTGGCACATGGACAAGAATCGTTCTCATCTAATTTGGGAGGGGGAGGGGCTGAAGACATATGTAGGATATAAACCGAGTTCACCGTATTGTGAAATGCTGAGAATTTTGTTTTCATATTAATTTGGGTCTTTAGCAGACCTGCAAACTGGACAACAATAAGTTGTCTTCTTGATTGGCTCAGGAAATTTACTTTCCTGATTTCTGCTGCTGTTGCTATGTCCAGCTTACAGTAGCTTCAAATATGTTGCAGCTGAATGAGAAATAAGTCAGCCAACCCCTTAAACACAGCTAACACTGTGGGGGTAAGCAAGTTCTAAACTATTTCTGAGTTCATATAGAAATCCCATAAGAAGCAAGAAGCTAATGCTGGGAGTTGGGTGTGCAGAGTGTCCTAGTTGGAGGAAACAGCAAGTAGATATGAGTGAAGAAGAAAAACCAGTCAATTCCCCACTAATATTGTCAGTTCCAAGTAATTTTGTACCTCTGTGTTGCAAAAACATTTCTTCTACTTGAGAACTGTGTCGGTTTAATTCCAGCTCTGTTTCAATGTGCTTAAAGACATAGTAAAACGTACTCCTATAATACTGCAGGCTTGTGGATCTTCTGAGAAACCAATTTCCTCATTTGTAGGAATTCCTCATTTGTAGGAATTGACTTACTTCCCAGTTCCCTATTTTGCTCTCTCTCCTTTTCAAGGGCTGCAACAGTTTGATATCTTTTCGATTATCCCTCTTAGGAACCAGTAGATCATTTTTTAGAGAAGAAAATAAAATACGGATGTGAATGGAAGGTGATGTTTGAAGATGGGTAGATTTTCTTCAAACAAGTTTTGAAGGAGTAAAGAAGTTATCTAACCTATTCATCAGCACTTTAATGCTGATGTAGTTATTTACTTCTAAATGACCCAATAACCATAATATCCAGGGCACTGAGTTTGCTTATGCAATATAAAATAAGTAAATATTGGAAAGACATTCCAATTTCATTAATCGGCTGAGTTCTCATTATATTTTCAGCCTAACCAAGAGATCCCATGGACTACTGAAAAAATAAGTTCAAATAGCTAATTAATCCCCAAGATGGAGTCCTTAACCAACTATTACCTTTATCTCACTAGTGATAGAGATCATATGACATTTTCCACAAATCACTGAAAAAATGTTGCATCAGAATTCCCAGATCATTGTGGACAACATAGAATCATGATTTCTAACTATCAATTACTGTTAATAGTCAAGCCTGGGAAAAACAGAAGTCCTGCTTAGGAAAGAAAAAGCTTTTCCCAGGGTCAAACTCTACCACACTGGAACACCTAGATAATACCTGCACATAGACACAAGAATGAGTCACTGGATTTTTCAATGTTGAGTAGTTGTTTTTATTTAGAAAAGCAGGCAGAGGGTACTCGAAATTCTATTAGGGCAGTTACTGTGGGGAAAAGATATTTATTTCTTCTTATGGCTCCTCCAGTCTAAACTGCTCACTATAAATCTGTCCAATTAGTGCTTAAACCATTTATTTACTTAACATACTGCTTAAATGAGCAAAGCTAAAAAACAGGAATACACAGGATACTTCCCTCTTCCTGCAATAATCCTTGGGGTATGAATAAAACAAGTAGAACTCTTTCAGTTGATGCCTAAGGGACTCATTATTTAGTCCGGAAAAGCTAAGTTTTAATGATGATTATTAAGCTCAAGAATATTTTCCAGAGGAGGAAGGCATATAGTCACCGTTTGTTTCATGATTCACTATGGTTGAAAAATCTTGGAACTCTGAAACTTCCAGAAAAAAAAATCAGAAAGAAAGAAAGAAATTGTTACAATGAAATGTTAGAAATTCTTCATGTTTCATTCTGGCTACAATGTTACAAGATACTTGATATAATAAAACATTGTAGTTATTTTACATCTTGCATGTAGGTAAAATGCATGAAAATTTTGGCTGTCAAAACCTTTTTTTTTTTTAACAGCACTTCCTATAAAAACCAATTTAGTGGTTTTTCCCCCCATTTTTTTGAGGTGGGGGACTGGACCAGACAGGATTTTCTTAAAGTGGCTTAGAGTCAAACCAACAGGAGCAGAGGACAGAAGCAATTTAAATATTCAATGTAGGTATGCCCTGATGGAGGAAACAAATATTCTCATACAAATATGCATGAGGTTACTTCCAAAAACAAATCATGAAACCAATAAAATAGACATTTTGGAAAGCTATTGACTTACTGGATGTATACGTTTTTGCTTATTGGTATTGAAAATACACAGGAACAAAACAATAAAGATAATATTTAAAAGGCTATGACTTGTTTTTCTAGGTTCAAGTGGAGAAAGTTAGGTCTCTTTTTCATCAAGAAAAGGAAAAAAAATAGTTTTAAGCCTAAAGTATCATTTTATTATGAGATGCTATAAATATAAAGCATCTCCTTCTGACAACATTTGGATTATCTCTTCTATTCCTATAAACTCTTTTTTGGAGCCAGTAAGTCTATTATTCTAAATTTATTTCCATTGCAAGTGTATATTTTTTGAATCAAAGCCACCACTGAGGATTTCTGAATGTATCAAGTATTGTATGAAGGAAAAATGATGACCATATATAGCTATTTAGTTTTGTCCTAACATTAAAAGAAACAATACTTCACCTTGCCTTTATAAAGAAAAGTCTGAATTACTTTTAAAAACTTATGTGTTACACAACTGATTGAGAACATAATTGTCAGTTTTCAAATTTATGAATATGAACTTACAAGTCACTTCCAATTTGGCAGAAAGAAAAAAAGACCACACGGTGTAATCTCACAATAAAACATAAATCTATTCTGTACCCCACTGAGAACTTTGAAGTCCAATAATAGACATTACCATCAAGTTGTTTACTTTTTCTCTTCTAAAATGATCTTCAGCAAAATGGTATAATTAATTCAGCATTCTTTTTTCCAGAACCTACAGTATTGTTTAAAACTACCTTAAATGGTAAACAGCTTGGTCGATCCTGATATGCATCAATTAATGCAAATTGGAGTGATGGACCAAATTTTAGCAGGCTGAAAACAAGGTATATTTTCCAATGTTTCTTCTCAGTGTTCTCTAATAAATCTCACATTTTCCTTCTCCATGACCTAAACAACTTAGCATTTTGTAACCCTGTGAAGCCCTTAGATTCCCGGCATGTTTCACTATATCCATTTCATTATTACCTTCCCTAGTAAAGTTGATGAGAGAAAAAAAGGTTATCGTGATATATAAATATTTCAACTGTGTTATTTCTTCAAGTGAATATTCAAGGAACAGCCTACTAGAATGATGTTACCTGCCTTATTAAAATCCATCTACTACAGATGACAGATTGTTTCATATTCTATGTTATGCGGCAGATGAAATCTATAGCTTAAGGTATTGGAGATCTTCAAATTCATTATGAATGAGCTAAACTCTACTTAACACAAATGCTATAATGCTGATAATCATTTTTTTGTTATGAATACAAAATTATACTGGCTGCTATGAAGGCAATGACATAACTTAAAAATTATTCATTAGTGGCCTTTGTAAGACAGCATTCAAATACATTCAGGAATATACTGTATATACACTCAAAATAAATTCCACTGTGGTCAGCTGGCCTGCTTCCAGGCATGACAGGAGTGCAATAATGATATGTTTTAAAATCATTTTTTTACTTAATTTGGTTTATTTTACCTTTTTCAAAAATGTATTTTTAAAAAACATTAAAACACGTGTATATATTTCTTTTCAGAATTAAAAAAGATACTTCCCCAAAAAACAGAAAATCAAAAAACCCCCACACACATAGAAACCAACCTTATTGAAACATCAGAGCACTGCAAATGTAGTCAGATTTCTCTCAGTTACCCTTTAAGATTAGAATTTCTGATATTTTTATCCCAAAGAACTCCATAGTATTTAAAAATCAACTGAAAGACAACCACAGAGAAGATTAAGTCCAAACAAGCACTACAACTTATGTCCAGAGAGACTGTAATGGAATATTATAACTTTCATGGAAACAGCTTTAATGAAAAAGACGTTGAGCAAACATCATAAAACTCTGCCAAATTCTGGAAAAACCATTACTAATGCTCCTAGCAGATTGTCTTCAAAACAGGCCTCAACCTCCATTGGGTCGGAGCTTCCTGCATTTTCACCAGATGTAGTGAGTTTAAATTCTGTTGTTAAAACAAATCCTGGAAAGAAGAGGCCTAAAACTGTGACAGTATCAAAAAGGTCAAGTGTTGGAAGCATGTCTCAGGATCAATGGGATCGACCAGTTATTCCACCAAGAAGACCAGGTTTAAGGGTGTGCTATATCTGTGGCAAAGAATTTGGTTCAAAATCTCTTCCTATTCATGAACCAAAATGCCTGGAGAAGTGGCATATTGAAAATGACAAACTACCTAAACGTCTCAGGAGACCACCACCAGTAAAACCTCAGGCTCTTTCTGGAAAGTCTTCTGGTATAGTGGCTGAAAATGAAGCAGCAGCTCAAAGTTTTCAAGCTCAGCTCCAGCCCTGTCAAAACTGTGGTCGCACTTTCCTCCCAGATCGCCTCCTTGTACATCAAAAGAGTTGCAAACTGAAGTCTAATCCAGGTTCTTCAAACTCCAAATTGCTTACATCTACAGGTTATGGGGCATCGTCATCAGACAAGGTAAATAAGAAGGCATCATACCAATGAAAGAGGCCCCATTGTTCTCATGTGCAGACTTCAAGATGATATTCTACTGGAATTGAAGTTAATGATAAAATCTTCACTCTTGATTTCAGTCATGCTAAGGTCTTATTTCAGAAAATATAAATAAGTATTTTACATTATAAGCAAATGGCAGCAACAACAAAATCTTAGAAGTTCAAATCAAGACCTGTGTCTATAGGACAAAGGTGGGCAATTAATTTTCCCAAAGGACCAAATACAAAATTGGGACTATGGTGGAGGGCTGAATCAATAGGGCCACCACTTTAGCCACTGCCACCACAGCCCCCACCAACGCTGTGGGCCAGACTGGGACAAGCAAAGGGCCAGATGTGGCCCGCAGGACATAGAATGTCCAGTTCTGGCTAGGACAAAATAAGAAGAGAGGTACAATCATACTATTTCATTTTGACAGAATACTCAGCATAACAGCTTGTTCTTTTGTAGCAATGGTATAGATTTAATGTATTTGAATATAAAAGTTAACAGGAACCACACAGAACATTTTGCAATTTGAAATTGCTATAGCAATGCTAGGATAAAGACCAAAATTTTTCAAAAGGTAGATTGTTCTGAAACAAATTAATGTAATTTAACTTCTTCTTATGATGGAAATGATTTAGATCTTTTCATGTGTCTTCTGTGCTAGATTAGTATATGTGTGGCAGGGCAGTACAGAGGTATGTAAGTTGCTTCTTGCAGAATATGCAAGAAATCCTTCATGAGCTTGTCCTTTAACTGTGATTTACAAAAATTTAGATAAGAAAATATATTCTTTAAACATCCTCTAGGGATACAGCAACAGCTATGAGCATCAGCTAAATATGGAATTTATTAAGGTTTCATCTCTATGTTTCCCTCAGGCTGAATGTGCACAGGAAAAAAAATTAAATTTAAAGATTCAGCTACTATTATAGGACTTTTTTTTTTCTTTCAGAAAAAAATTCAAAAATACTTCTTTTGCTTCTCCAGAGAAATATTTTTTATTATAATGGAGTAAGGTAGAATGGGCTATAATATTATTGTATCATCTACTTAAAATATTACTACTAATAACATATGATCATCAGCTGTATGGAATTCTTTTCTAAGAAAAGAGTTTACACACTCAAACAGACCTAGGGAATGGATAGTTAAAAAAAAGTGTACAGAAGAAAATAAAACATAGGAAAGTTAAAGATTAACAGTTCACAAAACCATTTTTGGTTCATAAATAAAAAGATTTGAAATATTCCATTATCTTTTTTGTCAGGCTTTTATACCTTATAAACTTTTAAGAGTTTGGGGTGCTTTTCACAGTCAAATCCTTACATGGAGTAGGCTCAATTTAAAGTCAAAATCGCAAAGGTTTCAGACAGAAATTTCAAAAATCAAAGAAATAGTAGCATCATATTTAGAAACAGTGTAAACAACAAAATCTAGAATTCAGTAACTCAGGTTAGTACTAAGCCAAAATCAAGCACTCGTAGATGCACTTGTAGTTCTAGCAGTGACTAATCTTTAACTGAGAGCTTTTCTCCCAGAACTAATGAATCTGCACAAAATTCAGTCAGAAGCAATTAGTGTTTTCTTTTACTACTGTACCTTGGGGATTCTTACTCTCCATACTGAGCTAGGTTCTTAGATGTACATTCCTTTACTAAATTGGTTGAAACTGCACCCATGGCATCTATGCTAACTTAAAATAAGAGGTAATTTGGCTTGATTCACTGATTTGCATGGGAAATTTTCAGGAATAAATGAATTGGAGGCCCACCCACAGGGTCCTTCTATAGCAGTCTTTTTCAAACATGGCAGTTTTAAGATGTGTGGACTTCAGCTCCCAGAATTCCTCAGCAAACCAGCTGAAGCATTCTGGAAGTTAAAATCTACACATCTTAAAATTGCTAAGTTTGAAAAACACTGTTCTGAAGACTGGCCTGATAAAGTCTCTCACTGAACAATAGAGGATCAACATTAATTACAGGATACAACAGAAAATATACAGTCCTAGCTGTGGGAATGAGTCAGCATTTTAATCAGAAAGGGGAAACAATATGGAGGGTATTTAAACTCAGTTTTTGAGAGTTTCATGAGAAGCACCTTAACAGAAAATGTAGGGGAAATAATTTCATATTCTTGGATTAAGGAAATAAAAATCCTTCCGCTTCAGCAATTTCCTGTAAGGCATGCTTTTGTTCTGTCTTTCTTTAACCTTCTCAACCCTTTAAAATCATGGGTTAAATTAAACTGCTATCAATCATAACTCTATTCTTAAAGATAATGATGGTCCCCATACAAGACCAATGAAATAAAAAAATGCTCCACTGAATTTTTATTCAAGGCCTGATTTATTCCCAACTAAGTCTTTTTTTGATATGTAGAGAAAGCCAGTTTCTCTATTATGAGCTTGTTAATTCAATATAATTGTTTTGTTATGCATTGCTAAGAATATATGGGTTCATTTGGATTAACCAAGCTTGATTGCACCTCAAAAAACAGTCTAAAGCAGTGTTTGTCAAGCAAACAACGTTAAGATTAAAACTGCTGAAATTAAAAAAAAAAACAAGCTTGCTTGTCTAAGCTGTGCAGGTCTGTTTGGATATCCTGCTTCTTGAATTCTGCTTTGGACAGCTTTTTGGTATGGGAAACAAAAGCATTCCAGAGATTAATATTCTTCCAGTAAGGAAAATCGGTTGTGATCTTCCATGGAAACTTTTTCCTACTTCCTGCCTTGGTTGCTACTAAATGCTTCTAATGTCTTGTTTTGATGCTCTTCTTGTCAATATACGGCAACCGCTTAATTCCCTTGGCTCTGTTTCCTGACTATCAGATACTGCCATCTGCTGCTTTTCTCTGTTGTATGTCTTCTTACAAAATAAAAATACACTTTGTTTCTGGTATTTCCTGTCACTATTCATCAAAAATTCTATTTCCTCACTGCAACTGAGGGGCTAATATAGAGATACTTCTTACCCTGTGTTTGCCCTCCTTGTTAGTGCACACAAGAAACACAACCCGGAGTATTAGCTTTGTCTTTATTGTAACAGAATAATAACAGAACATAAAGTACAGTGGTACCTTAGTACTCAATCGCTTTGAAACTCACCAAATTTGGTACTCAATGCATTTTGATGCAAAAGTTTTACTCATTGTTTGGTACTCAACACAAAAGCTAGAACTTGTTGGTATCAGCTGCCTTGTGACTCATTACATTATTCCTTATAGAGAAAAAATGTTTGGTACTCATCATTTTTGGTATTCACTGTACCTCTCAAAACCAATTAATGATAAGTACCAAGGTATCACTATAAAAGAAGAGGTACATTAACAGAATCCTGCATGACCGAAAGTATTTCTCCCCTCCTTTCCTTTTAGTCTCTGAAAATCTAGGAAGAGTCCCTTCTGATACATTCCTCATGCCTTCCCTCATTCTATGGGCTGACATATCTTTTACAGGCAGGTTGGGTAGTGTGGAGCTGTCCCTCCTATCACCCAAGGTCAATCTCACATACCATTACACCCTGAAAGTCGTATTTGAATTCCAGTACAACTACATCATTTTAAAAAATGAAGCCACAAAGGCTTCATTTTTTTCCAGTTTCCAGTGGGATAGTTCTGTTACTCTGATGCATTAAAACTGCCAAAGAATTTGGCAACATCTAAAAATATTTATTAAGGCATAGGGTATTCTGGACATTATGATCATCAGATGTATGGAGTTCTCTTCTAAGAAAAGAGTGTACACACTAAAACATACCTAGGGAATGGATTAAAAAAAGAAGTGGAGAGAGAAAAATAAAATACAGGAAGGTCAAAGACTGACAATTCATAAAACCATTTTTGGTTCACGTATATGACACAAATATTCATTCTCTATAGGGCTGAGTGAATTATTTCTCTGTTTAGCTAATAGCTAGATATTATCATCACTGGGTGCAATTCTTCAAATCAAGTTCTTTTCACTGTATTGTTTGCAAAGTTACTATTCTGAACAAATGTTGGGGGAACGTTAGGGTGGGGAACATAAATACTGGTCAATTCAGTGAGTGCTAACAAAGGGATGATCCTTTTCTCTAACTGTGCTAGGTAATCAGTTTTTGAAACTGAATAAAATTGAATAAAGATGGAATCTTAACCCTTGGCTACCTACCAATTTCAGCAATGTTTTCCACCCAAATCATTATTTTTTATTAAATCCTTAAGGAAAAAAAACCAATACAGGACCAGAAAACAGTGAGCTTTGAAAGAAAGCAGATTTCTAAGGATTTGAATACCTTAAGTATATCATTGTATATTAAGTCTGAGAAGAATTCCCCACATTATTTTAAACAATTGACCAGATAAGTGCAAGGTTCTGCAATTTGTGGCAGTCCCATTATGACATCATGACACAAATGACATTCAGTACACAATTCCCATCATCTGTGGGTTGATATTGTAATGCATATGATTTTTTTAATTCATCCCCACCCCCCACATTTGCCATGCAAGGGCTAAAACTCCAGAAAATCAATATATATTTAACAATAAAAATAATTTTAACTCCGAAGCAGGACCTCAAGGCTTTGAGTAGCCTGGAGGCAGAAAGTTCATCTATGAATTTTTTCCACAATTTTCTCATTTTTTCCCCCTGCTGAAGTCAATAATCCAATAAGCAGGAAAGGGGGGAGCTGGAATCCCAAAACAAATTAACTCTTAGCATGATATTTTAACCAATTGATTTGCTGCCTTGAATGAACAATATTGAACCATTGGATTCTTTCAAATATTGAACTATTGAACTTCATGATGTGGAAGGCAGGATGATTATTTCTACTTTGAAAAGTTCTCATTATCAACCTATTAGCAAGTACAATACATTGGTTAAAATGTGTTTTCGTTTTTGCCACTCAAAGGTAGTTTTGAATCTTTTCTATTTTTAATATCTGGGGACTATTTCACATATTGGGGGAAAGGCCACATAATCTAACAAAAGAATTCCTTGCATTTATAAAATCTTCTCTTATCTCTCCAGGTTAAAGACTCCAGTTAGGATAGGTAGATCTGCTCCAGCAGATGTTAAGAAGGTTTGCTATAGTTCATTTGAATCAGTTAATACAATGCAAGGGGCTAGCAACTTTTTCAAATATCATGTGCTATTCTGTTACATTATGCAATAGCACTGGCATATGGCAAAGGTGCTTTTTCAAAAGGCAACTGGACTTTTTTGTTTTTCTTTGAAGACATTTCATTTCTCATCAAAGAAGCTTCTTCAGCTCTGACTTGATGATGAGAAATGGAAACACTGATATTCTTTGCAGACAGCTGGTCATTTGCATTCTTTTAGAGATGGTGTTGATGCCAGCTGGAGGCTTATCTGTGTCTCAGGGTCACCTGAGTAGTGCAAATGGGTGTGGAGCCTTCCTGGAACTGTTGAAAAGACTGTGTTGTAGTTTGGAGATAGATGATGTCAGATCCCTTCCCCTCTGTTGAGAGAGGGCTGTTCAGTTTTGACATAGATGGTCTCTTTGACCCCTCTTTCAAACCAGCAATCCTCTCTGTCCAAAATGTGGACTTTGCTATCTTGAAAAGAATGGCCTTGGTCTTTTAAATGCAGATGGACTGTTGAATCTTGTCCTGGTGGGTTTGTTCTCCTATGTTGTGCCATGTTTCCCAATATCCAGTCAGAGTTGAAGAAGCTTCTTGGATGAGAAGCAGGAAGTCTTCAAAGAAAAACAAGTCCAGTTGCCTCTTGAAAAAGCACCTTTGGGACAACTATGACCTGGATGATTGAGAATCTCCATAGCATTGGCATATGTGCCCCAACACATTTTAAATGACTAAAATCTGACCATATTAACTTTCATAATTTTGGGTGATTGTACCCAGGCCCAAACCCAAAACAACGCATGGCAATTCTTCCAATCTGAGTTCTTTATTGTCTCACAACTTTAGACAAAATCTTACCAGACCAAGGACCCTACTGTTTGCATTTACAATATACTTTGTGAACTATTATGGAAGAGATGTCTTCACCCTCTTTCTCTCATACATTATATCTGGGCTAAGTTGCCTCTTACTCCTCTACTATGCAACTCTTCCCTTCTGGGGATCTACTTCCTTACTACATTACATATTCTGAAATCTCACCTCAACCCAAATCTTATGAGATTTGAGAATGCCAACATCTCAAAAGACTGGATTACTTAGTGAGGTTTCAGTTATTGTTATTTCATTTTAATAAAAATAAATTTGAACTGAATGTTTTTATTAAGGTAAAATTATTGTTTCAATTATTTTAAGTTAATGGGGAGGATGCAATTGCCATCTTGGAAATGTTGCAGGAATGTTAGACAAATATAAATCAATCCAGATTTAGTACTAATTAGAGAACAATATTTTACAAGTTGTTATGCAGACTAGGACAGGATCCCCAACCCCTGAGCTGCAGCCCACTATTGGGCTGTAAGCCATTTGGAACCAGGCTGCAGAAGTGGCAGGGAAGCATGCACATGCATCCCCACTTGCACAGGCAGCATGTGAGCATGTGTGTGTGCATTCCATTTGCATGAGAACACATGCCAGTATGGGACCATCCCCTCTTCCCCTCTCCTGACAGTCCACAAAGCTGGAAAGGTTGGGGAACTCTGGACTAGGAGCACCTTGAGAGTGCTGAAAAGCAGAATGAAGTGGTGTATAAGTGCTATCTTGAGGGAAGAGTCAAAAAAGTCAAGCAGACTGTTCAGTTCATGACCAAAGCCTGTCCCTTTTTTTATGTGTGTCACATGCTTGACATCCATCAAAATGAGCCAGGACTTCAGTCACCTGGTTGCAGGTGTTATATTACATCTCCTACAGACATATCTGGAATAGACCCATTTACAATATTCATAAACTTTTCTTTCAACTGGTTTCTTATCATCTCCTTAATGAAATGAAATGTCCACAGTAGATTTCATAAAAAACAAATAATAACCCACTTGAAAGCTTGGAAAATCAGCCAGCCACCCAGAGATTCATGGTAACTAGTACAAATATTTATCTATGAATTAGAAATTATCAACCTCTGAATCCATGTTTTATAGATATTAAAATATCTTATCATACACTTTGGAGCTTGCTTTTCTAACTCATTTTCAGTAGAGGTCTCTTTAATGCAACATTACTCCCTTCCTGCAATTTAATTTGTTTTAAGAGTTCATTTGTGTTTTAACTGCATTTGTTGTTTGCAGTCTCCCATGATAAGGCGGCCTCCTACAGTTATTTGTTATATTTGTGGCCGTGAGTATGGAACGCATTCCATAGGCATCCATGAGCCACAGTGCCTGAAAAAATGGCATATTGAGAACAATCAACTGCCAAAGCATTTGCGAAGACCTGAACCTGTAAAGCCAGTTGTCAGTTCCATAGGAGGTAAGTTACAAACAAGCAAACCAAGCAGATGCTGGTTAGGGATGAAGGACCACACTTTAGGATGAAACCGATTTGTGAAAGACTGCACCAAATTCTCTGGCAAGCATGAGATCCATGGCCTCACAGTGCCACTATTGCCATGACAATATGACTTCTAGAGTAGGTTTCAAAGGCATCAGCAAATTTTAACAGGTATTCTTCAGTCTGCATAGTAAATATCTTGGAAATTTAAATTAAATGTTTCCATTATTTGTGTTTGCAACCACATTGAAGAAGCAATAATAAAAAGTTAAACTTTTTATATGGAACAGGGACATTCATATGAATCAAAAGCAGTCATAATATAATTGAGAACTTGTGTGATACAGATCCCAGAAAAATTCCAAAATACTTTATTCAGTGTTTTTTTCTTCTGTAACTATAATATATATTTAAAGCTAAAAAACAGATTATTTTTAAAAAGTTATGACATTTTGATATGAGCATAGCAACCTCCTCCTTTTCAAAATACTTAATAAAAACTATGGAAAGATTATAAATTTTGGGGAACCAGGGAATGGAATTCTGGCCAAATCTTACACCTTGAACATTTGCCCAGATCTATGAAGTTGTCTGGATATTGGGAGACTTCCAGAAGTAGAATAGTGGAATTTATTGTAGATCCCATTGAAAAATCAACTGTGGGTTTCACCTAAGCATCTATCTTTAACAGATCTTCCTGCAAATCTAAGCAGACTGATTGTTGCTTTAAAAAATTTAAAAGTCATATGAGGAGCTGGTTCTTTCTTTGCACTACTATTCATACTTGAATTGTTTTAGCTATTCTTAAACATAGGAATAGAAGTTTGGGTGGCTACAGGAAAGTTATTCACAGATTTCTAGCAAGCATATGCAAATTCAGAACAACCTTAATTTATGAAAGGATCAGTTTGGATTTTTGCATCAGTTCAGAAAAAGTACATTTGCACTTATCCCATCAAACCTATCAAACATCTCCATGTTGTTACTATTTTTCCCCCAAACTGATTCAGACGTGCCTGACTCTATTCAATACTTTAAATTACCGTGGAAATTAAATTTAGAAATTTAAATGGATTCACCAAATTGCTTTTGAATTGAACCTCTGAACTGGATACTTAGACCAGGGGTCCCCAACGCCCAGTCCGTGGACTTTTAAGATGGGTAGGAACAATCATGCAATAGGTTACCCCAGTTTCACTTTTTCTTTCCCAAAAGGTTCAAACTATATGTGTGATACAAGAACTGCATGTAGCAATCCAAATCTCCTTTTGCCAGGGCTGGGGCTGGGGGGGGGGTTAGTGAAGAAATGTGTGTGTGGGGGGGAATATCATACTTAATGTTCTCCTTAATATTCAGCCTTTTCTCCACAACTCTAGTACTTCTGGATTCATACTGGCAAGATAAGTATAAATCCAAAACTCTGAACTTTACACGAGACAGAAACCTTTAGAGACAACTTCAACAGGGAATGCAACTAACAGGAAAAAGATTAAGCATTCACTTTCTCCATTCACTTTTTAACTGCAAAAAACCCTTTCCGAGAGAGATATTTTTGAAAGGAGAAGAGGCCAATGTAGTGCTGCTTCACATTGCTTAATGTTAAATATATGGCACGAACATTCATTTCCTGAAAAGGAGTATAATTGCTGCTGCCAAAAGACTACAGTTGATGGCTCATCTAGGAAAGAGGTATATTAGGAACATACACATTAAAAGATGTAAAGCTTACCCTTATATGAATCATAGTTCAAGCGTATGGCTTCTTATGGAAAAAAAGATATCATTTTGTCTCTGTCAGAAATAATCTTTGTTTTCAGGAATTTTGCACTTAGTATCTTCAAATCTAGCTAATGCATTAAAAACTGTGCTTTCAAATGCCAGTCCTTTTGAGAAAAGCAAATTATTTGAGATTTCTTTCATCCTTCCCTGCCACAAAGAATGTGAGGTTCAGATGCTACTGGCTTAAACTTCAGCTAAAGGTAGCTCTTTGAAAAAGAAATTGCATTAAATCCCCCTTTTAAATCAAAAGTGGAAACAAAGATGTTGATGCAAATTATAGCATTTAAAATGCATGCCAGCTGCCTTAATCTCTAAATAATTGCAGATAAAACTGTAGCTGAAATTGCTGTGTATGGGAAAGGATACAAAAATGGACTTAACCTGATGTCTGCTGATTTTGCTCTTTGGGTCATTGAGTTAATAGTACTCTGAGTCAGACTGAAGACATTTAAAAAAATGAAATTGGAACTAAGCACAATTCTTTATCCTAAACAGCAAGGGTGAAAAAGTGAGATAGAGAATACTGCACATTTTTTTCTACATCCCTTGGTTGGATAATGTTGGTTCTTAAGCAGGATTTGTTTTTGTTTTTTAAATTTTAAAGACATGTGGTAACACAGTCTGATATTTGAAGGGTAGGCAAATACGTTAAAAATGTGTAATGCAGCACATGCTGAAATGGTTTCTCCAGAAGTACAAGATTATTCAGTTGTAGTTAGCTTTATGTGACCCCTGAGACAACAAGCAAAATTTTGCTGGGTTTTTCTTCCCTCATAAGGACTATGATTTAGTTAAAACTGAAAGGCTCAGTCAACAGGTATTTCCTGAAACTATTTTCCATAAAAACTGAGTATGATTCTCTAGAATGGAAACTGATATTTTCTCTCTTTTAAATTTTTCCAGCCAAAGGTTACTATGATCTTGATGCTTTAAATGAGTCTGCTTGGCAAAGTGCCCAGAGCCAGCTAGTTCCATGTGGTATTTGTGGCCGTACCTTCCTGCCAGACAGACTGATTGTCCATCAGCGGTCCTGTAAACCAAAGATACCAAAATAAAGCTCTCCTCATGTTAAGGATTTAAAGGACAAAATTGTTCTCTCACCTCTAGAACAAAAGTTTCAACACTGAAGAATCATTGAACCATATAGAATCATTCCAAGTCTGCTCTGCATAAAATTAATGTACTATTGATTATGTGAGTGACATATGGGACATGGGGCACCTGACAGTGTTTTGCAGCAATTATTGATGAGTGGCTCATAAGGACAAAAAGAACCTTTATGGAAACCTCTGCAAGATGGAGCCTTCACAGAAAGGACAGTGGCCTTCGTGCTATTCATTGATTACTGTTCTTCTAAGTATTGCAATGTCTGTTAAGAAATGGTTTTGTTTGATAGACTCCTCATTTAGTAAATCATGTATAAGAATGTTTATTTTTAGTAATGAATTTTCTGTTTAAGGGATCAATCGGCAGCAACATAAGGACCATACAAGTTTTGATAGCCTTCATCAAAAGTGGGTATAATCAAATTTTCCTTTTCAAATACATTGTATATTGGTTCTGAATGTCTTGGGGGAGAAAGGTCAACTGTTCCAGATAATTCCACTCCTCTTAGCCCCTTGTTTAACATGAAATTTCTGGGTCAGTTTGAGGTCTATTCTGGTTCTTCACTTCATACAACTACAGCTACCTGAGGGAAGAGACTTAGTTTACATTTGCTGGCCTTCCTGTGCCATGATCTTGTAGCCATTGCCTTTTACAAGATAGAAAAAATCTTTGAAGGCTGTTTACATACCTACATGGATGTGAGTGTGGATGATGATTGAAAAGATTTGTATGATACAATGCAGAATAGTATCAATCCCAAAACCAGTTTTGTATGCTACTTCCCCAACACCCATCCTAGGTTATTGTTTACTGTGGAATACCAGCACAATAAATGGGAACCTTGTTTTATGCTCACAGGTTATAATGTTGTGCAGAAGGTTTGCTGCTCTTTGAGATTCCCAGTTTGAAGGGCAGAAGACAGAATTCAAAGTGCCAGAAAAAAGGATGGATGATGCCGGAATTCTCTTCAGAATTCAGGTTGGAGGGGAATACCATTAATCCTCTGTATATTGTTTGTGCATCAGTGGTACAAGTTTTGCTATCATTCCCAAAGACATCTGATTTCTTTTTTTTTATTTACAATGATCATTTGCAATGATTACCTAACAAAACAGTGACCAGATGACTATATAGTTTTATATAGTCCAGTAACCACTACAGAGAGAATGATGGTAAGAAACAAGAGTTTTAACACTATTAATGAGCACACATGCTGATTTTTAACCTGAAAGTTTTAATCCATAATTAGTATTACGGTCCTTCATAATCTTCTCCCTTCTACTTTCCTTAAGTAATCACGTCATCATATAATAGTCTGCTGAACATGAAACATGATATGGTCAAATAATTATTGTAAAGGAAAAAGAATAAGCTGCCATCAAGATGTAAATTAAAATAACCCATTCCTACATTCAAATTGGAGTTATTTTAGTCTCTTTCCCAAAAAAAACCTGGAAGAAATATTTTTCAGTGAAGAAAAAATTATAAAAAGACCCAGACTGACCACTCACTCTGACTTGCCCAGCGTTTGTAGAACTCATATGACACAAGGTTATACATAGCATGAAAAAAATTGGAGAAAGCAGCCTTTCTGAAAAGGTCGAAAAGAAAGCCAGATAAAAAAATGGACTGAAAATTTGCCTTTTTAAAAAATTCTACAAGACCCTCCTCATGGCCAATTAATTGTGATAGCAACTACATTTGAAATTCTGAATGCCTTTACCAGTCTAAAAGGATTTGTCTATATCAGGTTTATTGTATGTATGAATATAAAAACATGAACCTGACATTTTCCAAGCACTGATTAAAATAGGAGAAAATACTTCTTCCGTTTGAGGGATGAGGATAGCCATCCAGATAGCCATCCCCACAGTTGCAACACAATATGGATTTTAGTTTCCAATACAGCAGGATGGTGCGAGGTTGGAGAAGACTCAGACATGTTTCATACTCTTTAGCTTTCAACCACTTTATAACTTCATATTTCAAGAAGACTATGAAAATGAAGTTTGGATATAAAAAACAAATCTCATGTGGGAGTCATTTGACCAATTGGTTAGATGTCTCACAATAGCTAAACCTAATAGGCAAATTAGCATCCTTGTATCTGAGTGTTCAAATCTAATTCTTTCCTTTCCAACTTGCCAGATCAAAATGAGAATGCATGTTCTTATTTCTCCATATTCTGGAAAAAGTTTTGGCCACAAATTCACACTGTGCTGTGCACCAGTCACATCACAATTCTAAGAAATTATTGCTTCTAACAGTGCATTCCATATGTATAGAATCATGTTCCTGGAGTGGGTTGAGATATCTTAGATTTCATGTCCAAAAATGCATTTCTAACCATAATTATGAAGAAAAGACTAACTGTATTAATACAGATGGTATACCATATGATGTCTAGTAATCTAAGAATTGTGGGTGTTAGTCTTGTTCTTTTGCAAACACAGCTTCAATCTCCAACCTACTCCTCTTTTTTCATCCTTAATCACTAATAAGTGAGAGCTTAGGAAATGTGCAGGAAACAATGACATGTACTTTTAAAGAAAATGGTTAATACAAATTTGCTCAATTAATATTACATTACAAAACACATAGAAGCTATATGAAGTTGGAAGAATTGAGGGTAAATAGAAAAGGGCACTTTGTCAGCAAGCCTGGAATTAGGAATGCTGCTCATTTGGAGTTCCAAATGGGAAAATTTTGATTCTGATAACATACTAGGACTTCGGTGTATCTCTTAGGATGACTTTGAAGGGCCAGTATAGAACGTAGAAGAACAGAGTTGGAAGAGATCTTGGAGGTCATCTAATCCAACTCCCTGCACAAGCAGGAGTCTATACCATTTCAGACAAGTGGCTGTCCAGTCTCCTTTTGAAAGCCTCCAGTGATGGGTGCCCACAACTTCTGAAGGCAAGGTTATTGGTTAATTGTTCTCACTATTAGGAAATTTCTTCTGAATTCTGTATTGCTTCTCTCCTTGATTAGCTTTCATCCATTGGTTCTTGTCTTGCCTTCTGATGCTTAGGCAAATAGCTATCTCCCTCATCTTTGTACAGCCCCTCAAATACTAGAACACTGCTATCTTTTTACTAGTCTAGACATACCCAATTTCTCCAATCGTTCTTCATATATCTGAGTCTCCATCCTCCTAATCATCTTTGTTGCTCTTTTCTGCACTCTTTCCAGAGTCTCAATATCTTTTTTATATTGTGGTGACCAAAACTGGATGCAGTATTCCAAGTGCGGTCATACTAAGGTTTTATAAGGTAGTACTAATACTTCATGTGGTCTTGATTCTATCTCTCTATTAATGCAGCCTAGGACCACATTGGCTTTTTTGGGTGCTGCTGCACACTGTTGGCTCATATTTAAGTGATTGTCCACTTGGACTCCAGGATTCCTCTCACAATTTGACCTAGGATTTCATTATCAAAGAAGAATCAGAGAACCAGTTAGACTCTAGAAAGAGAATAGAGAAGAGCAACAAAGATGATTAGGGGACTGGAGGCTAAAACATATAAGGAACAATTGCTGGAATTGGGTATGTCTAGTTTAATGAAGAGAAGGACTAGGGGTAACATGATAGCAGTGTTCCAATATCTAAGGGGCTGCCACAAAGAAGAGGGAGTCAAGCTATTCTCCAAAGCACCTGAAGGCAGGACAAGAAGCAATGGATGGAAACTAACCAAAGAGAGAAGCAACCTAGAACTAAGGAGAAATTTCCTGACAGTCAGAAAAATTAATCAGTGGAACAACCTGTCTCCAGAAGTTGTGAATGCTCCAACACTGGAAGTTTTTAAGAAGAGATTGGACAGCCATTTGTCTGAAATGGTATAGGGTTTCCTGTCTGAGTAGGAGGTTGGACTAGATGACCTCCAAGGTCCTTTCCAACAAGTGAATGCTAGTGTAAATTAAAAATTGTGATTCAGCCAAGCACTGTTTAATCTTTTTTTTCTACACTGCTTAGATAAAATGTTTTAAGAAGCTGATGGTTATTGGAAAATAAGTGCTGAAATCCAATCCTGGATGTTAAATAATACCATGAAGATGACTGCAATAAAGGAAGGAATAATATATTTTGAGTTTTCATCTTCATGTCCTAAAGCTGCTTGTAGGTATTTATAACAAATTGGACAATTTTAAGAAAATTGTCACCAGCATCTGTTTTCAAATGAAGTGTGCTGGAGGTCTCCATGCAATAAAGGAAGCTAGCTGAGAGCCAATTGTTTCTCACTGCTGAGCTATCATGTTTGCCTTCTAATGAAAACAAGAATAATATTAAAAGTTATGATATATATGTATTTAAAAAATCAAAATCACCTAGCCTGAAAAGAAGTTTATTTAAAATGGTCCACAAATTCCATATTATTTGAGAAAAATATTTTTTAGGTCTATTAGTGATATTTCAGTAAACCTTTTAATCTGTATGAAGGGAAAACAGATTCAATGTATTAAGTCTATAGGTCAGTTCCTCTTCTAAAATTCTGCACTGCATAAATCCAAATGAAAACCCATGACTCTAAGGCATTCATTTCAAGCCATGGAAAAATTTTCTTAGGGCCAGTGCTTTTTTTTTTTGTAAAAATAAAAGGTGCCAGAACTCACACATGTCATACAACCTGCCTTGCCTACCCTACAAGGTTCCATCCAAAAAAGGTGCCCGAACTCCATTCTGGGCGTTTTATGACCAAAAAAAAGCCCTGCTTAGGGCTATGAGTACATATGAATATCACTGAAAAGAGAAAGCAGAGATGTTTTTTATGCAATCATGCAGTTAGAGTTTAGAACTACCATATTTTCTAAAGCATGCAAATCGGCTCCGAAGTCAGGGGTCGTCTTATACGCCAAGTCATCTTATACGCTGGAAATTACGGTAGTTTCCAGCATATAAGACGACTTTCTAAGCATGCAAATCGTCTCCAAAGTCGGGGGTTGTCTTATACGCCGAATCGTCTTATACGCCGGAAATTACGGTAATAGCCTGAAGTCCTGGATATTACAGCTCAGGCACCCTGGCATTCACATAGTGATTTCCAGGGACCTACAAGTCTTCTTTGCATACAATAATTCCCATTTGTCTTCTCAAATGTGGGCGATGCTATTAAAAAAGTCAAGATGATGTCAGCCCTGCCCTTTTGCTATATGCATCCTAAACGTAGCACATTTTTTTTACCTCCTTTGTCTTTTCCCTTATTCCCGTACCTCCTCTGTCTCTTTCTTTATTGGATCTTTCCTTCCTTCCTTCCTTCCTTCCTTCCTTCCTTCCTTCCTTCCTTCCTTCCTTCCTTCCTTCCTTCCTTCTCACCTCCCTCCCTCCACTACTCTATACAGTCTGCAGGCAAGAGCACCACATAACACATATTGGCAGCAGTAACAACAGCTGGCTATTGTCCACTTTTTGTATTCAACAAAAGACAAACAAGGAAAAAAAAACAATCTGCAAGATAGGTTGATTTCAAGAGAATCACAGCAGAAGAAGGGTTTCAACAAGGGCCACAACAACATAACTGCTATGCCACTAGTTGTGGAAATAAAAAAATACCACAAAACGTTCAACTGTAAAGAGAAACACCCCTTTGTATACACCCCTTGCCCCACTGGACTGCCACCATAAGATTTGAACAGGGATTCAAACTAATTAATGTTATTAATATTAATGAATAAGAACAAGATAATATTTAAATGCAAATTTTGTTTAGTTAATTTCTCAATAGTTGTATAAATTTAAATCTTTTCTTCTACTGTAATTAAATTCTGGCATTTTCATTATTGTAATTAACTTCCAATCAACAAATATTCATGGGATTCAGGAGACTCTCAGGAACAATTCAAGTAACTGAATTTGGAAAGAAAATCATGCAAACCTTATTGGGCACTCAATAATATCTCTGAAATGGTATTAAAAGGTATAAATGCTAGAACACAAATGAGGAGATTGCCTGTTAGATATATTCTTAAGACAGAATTTCATTTCATTCAGTAATGTTTGACTCTCAATAGAAGTTGTTTAAGACTTAAGAAATTTAACAAATAAAATAAATAAATAAAATAAGACTTCATTGTTCCTGTTAACATCTTCAATGTACTCAGTATAATATAGGAAAAAGGAAACATGAATTTATTTTTAAACCAGTTACATAAATATGTTTAAATCAGCTGAATTCAGAAATAATAAATACGCTCCTCATCAAAAATTGTACAAGGAATTAATGCTCTGCATAAAATTTTTAAATATAATTTTAAGAATGATTTTAAATGCAATAACTAAGTACTTAATGTGGGCAGTGCAGTGGCCTAGAGGTGGAGCTCTAGCTTTAAAATCAGGAGGCTTTGAGCTCAATCCTAGGTAGCCTCAGATATTTCTCTCTCTGGGCTCAATGAGTAATTGCCTGCTGTGAACTCCACGTAGGTATCAGGAAGGGCATCCAGCCAGTAAATGCTCAACTCCATTCAGTCACCCTGACTCCACCCTGATGCAAGGTATTACAGGGTTGTTAAAAGAAAAAAAAACTAAAGACTTAATGTATGTATGCACAGGGCAGGGCAATGGCCTAGCGGTTAAGATGCTGAGCTTGTCAGAAAACTGACAGCCCAGGTTTGAGACCCAAGTGCCATATCACAGGGTGAGTTCCTAATATTTGCCCCAGCTACTGCCCTTCTAGCAATTTGAAAGCAAACAAATATAAGAAGATAAATAGATTCTGCTTCAGCAGGAAGGTTACTGCATCCCTTATTTTCATGCTGGCCACAAGATGATAGAAATGTCTCTCAGACAATGCAGGCTCTCTCAGCTGAGAACTGGAGATGAGCATCACACCCTTGAGTTGGTCAGGACTGGACAGAGGAAACCTTTCAATCTATACACAATTGGATATGTTACCCTGGGAAAGAGCAGTAGTTTAGAATTGACTAAACAAGAATTGACTAGAATTGACTACCTATTATTTCTCTCATTTCTGCATGCACGCACACAAACATACACACACACAAAGTAGGCAGCATGTGACAAAAGCTTAGCCAGTAGAAAGGGTGAAGATTAATTGCGTTTACACATTGCAATAGAAATTGACACTAATGCACATGTGTAAATAGTGTATGTCATAGAATGTCCTTTGCATTCCTTTTTTGCAAGCATTTAATCATCTGGAAGATTTTATGCCCATTTGCTAATTGCTATATTTATAGTTTCGGAAATTTCTATCTTTGCATTCAGAACACTTGAGACCAAAGTCTGCAGACATTTACTAACACCTTTTCTAAACATCTTGCTATAGGGCTTAAATTATCATTATATTTCAGAAAGTAACCAAAATTCATTAGAGAGTCTAGAGTTAACAATATTTGAGGAAATAATTCTGGAAAGCAATTGTAAAAAGAAAAGTCTTTTGTTAACACCAATTACCCTTACGTTATTGCTTTGCTGGCAATGGCAAGAACTCAATATCTCCAAAGTTAAATTGCACACTGGATACTTATATAGCATTCTGAACAGCAGCCTAAGCTAATGGCGCGTGTTCCTTTCCTGAGAAGTTTATAGTCTAAGTGCAGTGCAGTTGCAGGAAAGAAATGGGAGGCAAAAGCAAATGCAGTTGCCAACATTCACATTTCATTTTTAGTAGCAAAAAGTTTTAAGAGCCACCCTTAAGGAAAAGAGAAAACAGATCTGGCATTATTGTAACAAGATGGCCATGTTTTAATGGCTATGCTGCACTCAGATCACTGATCAATTGTTGGTTGATCAACTGATTATTGTTTTGTTAATTTGGGCTGGAAAAATAGAGTTTGAAGAAATTTTATAAATGAAATATTTTTTATCAATGCAATCAGAGCAAACCATATCTGTTTCCACTACCCTCTTCTGTATTTTCAAATCACTAACATATAAAAGAAGGTAAGAATTCACAGAGTTGCTGGCCTATGTGATATCAAAAAATTTTGAAATTATTGCCACTTAGGATTTTGAGGAAATCATACTTAAACTGAAAATTCTAAGGTGAAAGAAATATATTTTTTCCTGTTAATTGATATAAGATATACAGGCTACCTTTCAGATCTTCCAGTAAATGGGTTCCCCTATTATTTTCAAGTTTGAAGTCCTATGTTGATTCATTTATAGTGCTGCTTATGAAAATACGTTGTTGAAAAGCATTGTGAACTCTCTCTCATTTAGCTAAACTTCTCTTTGTAACTACCCATTCGAATATCTTTTTCTGTATCTTGGATTTATAAATGCATATTCTTTGACATGAAGGCTTCAAACACAGGAAAATCAACAAATCAATATGTAAGGGGCCTAAAATTGCCCTCTCGCTGTCACGAGGTTTCCATTTATTACTACTTAAAGTGAATGTATAAACTCATCCAACACATTTTCTTAAAGCTCTGAATCTATATCTTCTCGTACCTCCATCAATCCTATTTAATATAGAGTTATGTCTGAGATGGCAATCCTAAACATGCTGCTAAGACAGTAGAAAACATTACAAGACAGAAGGATGAAAAATAGCACTCTTTTCATTCAACACTCTCCAACATTCTTTCTGACCTTTTGGAGGTGCGGGGGTGGGGGGCACTATACTAGCAATACTGGACATATGTGTGACCCAAATAAATTCATTTAAACCTAAAGGGAAAGCATGATTGATTAGTTAAGAGAAAAAACATTCCACTTGAAAAGTTCCTTGAGACAAGAAATTCTCAGCTGTGTGAGCCAACATATGTTTTAAATATTTGCAAGAGATTACCACTATAAATTAACACCGAAAGCTGATGTTCCTAATTCTGATATAGTCCCGACCCAATCTGAGAAACAGATCATTTGCCTGCTTGTTTATACAAGTGACATTCCAGACAGCAATAGCAGTTCCAATTTTATATTTGGAAAGGAATCAAATTGTCCTGCTCATGAATCAACAAACCCCAGCAGGTGGCAATAGAGACACTTCTGCTTTCCCAAATTTTGAACCTCTGTTGTATTGACTTAGGTGTGTGCTATTCTTTCTAGTGCTTTATAGCTTATTGTAAAAAAATAAATAAATGTCTAGGCTTTTGTTCAATAAAATAAGACTAGGTGTGATTTCTTAAAATTCTTTCTATTATTTGATATATATTGTCAAATACATTGGAAAAATTAAATCATGAAGATGAAACTGAAAAAAGCAAGGATGTGTTGATTAATGAACAATTTCTGTGTTAATAAATTTATCCAGCTTATTATAAAAATAAATTTGTGAAATACCAGCAGCATATACCCAGAAAATGAAATTCAAAAATCTTAATAATCTAAAAAGATAGTTTTATTATTGCTTTTGCCAGCAGTCTACAGGAGTAGAATTCCTTTCCCCCAACACTTTTGGAATATAGTCTTTCCCTCTGTATTTATTCAAGTAATTTAATACCATAGAAATAATGAGATTAATATACGAAGTTATCTTGTTTTAGCTCTTTTTCATTATGCTACTAGAACTGTTATTATTCAAGACAACCACAATAAAAAAGGCAATCTGCCTCCAGAAGTTATGAATGTTCCAACACTGGAAGGTTTTAAAAAGAGACTGGAAAACCATTTGTCTGAAATGGTATAGGTTTCCTGCCTGAGCAGGGACTGGAAACCTCAAAAATCCCTTCCAACTCTATCATTGTTATTGTTAAAAAGCAGTAATTGTAAATAAGTAGTTATTTCCTTTGTGTTCTTTTTTTCTGTCTTTTCCTTGACCATCATATCTTCTCAATTTTCTATTATCAGTGGTCCTAGAAGGAAGATATAGTAACATAACATTTTGGAACAAAAATGACCATATATATTTCCAAGAAACTGGACCTTTACCCATGTACTTCTGGGTTTTTCCTTTTCTATAAGATTCCATTGTCTGGGCGTACTACTTATTTTATATCTAATGCACTTGATAGAAAAGAGAATTATTCTTGCATCAAGCCATTAAGCACTTTCTGGGATCACTAGGAAATAGGCAAAATTTTCTAGTGATCCAAATCTGTTAAATCTGTTCCTTTTTGGCCTGGAAGTAATTGTTAGCAGATACTAGAAGAATGGTCAGTCAAAACAAGCATGTAGAGTTCATTTGGGTGTTAATCGAGTTGTGAGAAGAAAATTGGGAGGACAAAAGAAGTCACAGACCATAGAGATGGGATTAAAGAGTGGAATCATATTCTAACAAAGAGCTTCATGTAAACATGTCATTCTTATTTAGCTACAATTTCTATTTCTGTTAGAAAGTAAGTCCTATTCAGATTGTGGGACGAGCCAGGGGCAACTCTGTTATAAATGTATAATGTATAAACCAGCATGGTTGCATAAAGAACTCTCTGATAAATTGAAAGACAAAAAAAGAAGACAAATGTAAACAATGAAAAGAGGGACACATAATTAAGGCAAAATGGCAGCATATAGCTTGAATGTGCAAAGATGACGTTTGGAAAGCTAAGACTCAGAATGAACTGATATCAAAAATAATAAAAAGAACCTTCTTTCAACATGTTAAGAAAAGAAAAAAAGCCAAGGAAATGATCAGTCCACTGATGGGAGAAGATGGCAGGGAGGTGACAGACAGCAGGGAGAAAGCAGAGCTTCTTGATTCATTCTTTGTACCTGCTTTACACAAAAGGAAAAAAAACAGTCCAACCTTTCACAATCAGTATTGTAAAAGACAGATTACAAATACAAGTCAAAATAGGCAAGAAAATAGTAAGACATCACTTACCCACTCTAGACAAGTTCAAACTCCAGGACTAGATGGAAACATGCCAGAATTCTGAAGGAGCGGACAGACATGACCTCAGAACCATTGAACCAGATCTTTCAAAGAACCTGGACACTGGGGAACTACCAGAGAATTGGAAGAGAGCTGATGTGGCCCCCATCTTCCAAAAAATGGATCCAGGAAACTACAGACCAATCAGCCTGACATCAATACCTGGGAAGATCCTGGCAAAGATAATCAAGTAATGGATTTACAAACACCTAGAAACAAGCAAAGCTAATATTAGAAGCCAACATGAGTTTGTCAAAAAACAGATCATGCCAGAGAAAACTTATCACATTCTTTGACAAAGTGACTAAATTACAGACCAGCAAAATGCTGTCGACATAGTATGTTTTGACTTCAATAAGGCATTTGAAAAAGTAGATTTCTTGGTAAAATATAAAAGTTTGGGATTGACAGCATCATCACTAGATGGACTAATAACAGGCTGACCAACCACATATTCTCAATGAAATTGCCTCTATACTGAGGGAAGAATGTAGTGGGGTACTCCAATGTTCTGTCTCAGGACCAAATACTCTTCAACATCTTCACAAACAATTTAGATGAGGGGATGGAAGGGGAACTCATCAAATTTGCATATAAACCAAGCTGGAGTAATAGTCAGCAATTTAGCAGATAGACTCAAGATCCAGAAGGAAACTGACAAACTTGAACATTGGCCACTATCCAACAAAATGCAATTCAGTGGTGAGAAAAGTAAGGATTTACACTTAGGCAAGAAAAACCAAATACACAGGTATGGAATAGGTGGCACCTGGCTCAACAGCAGAAACTGTAAAAAGGATCAAGGAGTCCTAGTGAACAACTACTTAAGAATGAGCCAGAATGTCTGCAGCTGATATAAAGCCAATGCAGTCCTAGGCTGCATTAACAGAGGGAAAGTATCAAGGGCATGTTACTAGTGCTTTATAGTGTATCCAGTTTTTGTCACCACAATATAAAAAAAAATGTTTAGACTCTAGGAAAAAGTGTAAAAAAAAGCAACAAAGATGATTACGGGGCTGGAGGCTAAAATATATGACGAATGGTTGCAGGAACTAGAAATGTCAACTCTAAGAGAAAGACTAGGTGTGACATGATAGCAGTCTATAAATATTTGAGGGTCTGTCATAGAGAAAAGGGGATTAATTTATTCTCCAAAGCACCGGAGGACAGGACAAGAAGCAGTGGATGAAAACTTATCAAGGAGAGAAACAACCCAGAACTAAGAAGAAACTTCCTGATAGTGAGAACAATTAACCAGTGAAATGGCTTGCTTCCAGAAGTTGTGGTGCTCCATCACTGAAGGTTTTTAAGAAGGGATTGGATAGCCATTTGTATGGAATAGTATATGATCTCTTGTTTAAGTAAGGGTTTAAACTAGAAGACTTCCAAGTTCCCTTCCAATTCTGTTATTTTATAAGAAATTATGTGTCTTAAAGCCCTTTGCTCCTAAAGAAATTTTTAAGTGTCATTCTACTAAACAAGATCATATTATACATAGCAGTAATTGGAGAAAATGGTAGGAATCTAATATACAGAAAATATGTTTGGATACTACATATGTAATATAATGTAGTACAAATAAAATATACAAATGAGGCAGACAAATTGCACAATAAACATCTTGTCTAGAAACAATTGTTTACTCAAATTGTTCAATCAAATGGAACAATCTTTTGATGCTAAAACTATAACTCTTGCTTGATCAATGGCTAATTTTGGTTGATTTTTTTGTTTTTAAAGAAATACCAATATAAGTGAATGAAACATAGATACTGTCTATATTTATTAAGAAATTCCATATTTTCTATATATCAGGAAGGTACAAGGTAGACAATTTTAGCAGCTACCTAATGAATTGCTAACAGCTCAAAAACTAAAAGAAGAAAAATTACCATGTTAGATGTAAATGTGTTTTTGAAGCTACTGGACATTAAGTAACCAGAGAGTCCCTTTGGATGAAACTAAGAAACAGGAGAGGTATACTGTTTTAAAATCTGACAGAAAGTAATAAAAATATTTGCACTTCTAAAACACCTTTAGTTGCCTGAAGATCTTTACAACCACTTATTTATTAAGACTTTTAGTCCCAATAAGCCACATCCTATTAATTCAAGTAGATAAAGATAAGATTCATGTGGCAGGAATATTTCTTGAAAAATTCATGTTGGCTTTAAGAGCTGAGCTGAAATCAATTACCTGTACAGCAGGAAACTTTACTAAAAAAAATCCCACAAGCCTTCCTTCCTTCCTTCCTTCCTTCCTTCCTTCCTTCCTTCCTTCCTTCCTTCCTTCCTTCCTTCCATAATAGGCTTAGAAAGGATCTTGAAGATTTTCTAACCTACCCCCTGTCCAACCCAGAGGTCCTCATATACCTTGGACAAATGGATTGCCAATCTTTTCTTCAAAATTTCAAACAATGGAGCATCCAACTCCAGGAGGCAAACTGTTCCACTGATTAATCATTTTCAATGTCAGGAAATTCCTCATTAGTCCTAGGTTAGATGTCCCTCTGACGAGCTTCCACCCATTGCTTTTTGCCTTACCCTCAGGTGCTATGAGGAAAAAATCAATGTCTTCTTCCCTACAGTAATCCTTCCAGTATTAGAATAGTCCTAATGAAGGGTGGGCAAAAATAAATGAGAATATCATGATTTTGTAGTATAGCGGAACATGCAAAACTCACTGAATCTTTCAGTTCCTGCTATCAAATTATTTTTATTGCTATTTATTTTTATATATCTTTTTGATTATCATATTCAATGTTCCAAATCTTGTGGACTTTTATATCATTAGTCTGCATACTGTTGGGCAGATGGAAGAAATATTTATTTGCCTAAAAATGAAGAAAACAGAATGATTGACATAAGGAGTTTATGGAGGCAATTTTTCTGCCATTTATAATGTTTAGTTTCTCGGAACTTGTACTATGGTATCTATAAGTGGAACATGGGTAGAAAAAGAACATTGATCAATTAAAAAATAACCAAGTTTCCTTTTTTATCCCACACAAGAGCTGCTGCATTATATCTTATTTTTATTCTGATGTTGCATATGTGAATTTTCTCTCCTCCATGTAGCATCTTCCAGTCAGAACAGGAGAAACAATTAATAGTTACACTTGTAGATGGATCCAAGCCACAAAACCTGAAAGCAGCATATACTTCCACATTGTCCAAGTCAGCCTTTTGGCTTTGAGAGTTTGTATCTCATTAAAATAACAGTGAGAAAATTGTTCAAGCAAGGAATAGTTAGTTTTTGGCTCCTTTGTATTCTCTGACATTTGGGGCCTTCA